CTGGTCTGTCTGAGGCTCTGTAGGATCAGGGCCCTCCACACAGGCCTGTGATTAGGCCCAGGAAAGTCGGTGGGATGAATATGAATCCCAGGCACAGCGTGGAGCATGGAGGTCTTGGGGTCAAATCTGAACGCAGATTAAGCCGGGTTGTGCAGGGATTATTATTGGGATGCCCTGACGTCACCATTGCACGCCACGGCCATCTGGACCCGTAGGGATTATGCTGCATGTGTTTCGCGTTGGCCTTCCTTGTCTACACTACGCACAAACACGATTGTTTTAACTATGCTGGTACATTTCAAGTAGGACAAGTCCCATAATGTGGATGCAGTTATACTGGTATAAATGTGCGGATGCACCTTTATGCTGTGTAACTGTCCAGATGAGGGGTTGTACCCATCCAACTATTTCAGTTCAAAAATATAATTTAAAAAAATCAGTCCCTAGCAGAAATAGGTATATCAGTATAAAAAAAAAGGCTAAATTTTCAGAACAACGTACAGCAGGGTCCTCCAGGAAAACTGGTAATTTCACTTTTCCCCAATCCCCATGCAAAGCAGGTATTTGAGGTTGCATTTACCCATTTTGCACACTTTTTTTTTTTTTGCAGTTGCACCTGCAAAGCATAACCCCAACATTCAGTCAAATTGTCATAGCATAGTACAACCGCTATTTAATCATTTCAAATTTGAGTTATTTCTATAAAAAAAAGTACTGAATGTTTATAATCAATACAGATTTTTGAACAAGGAGCTACTATATATATATTATTATTAATTGTCACAAGCACTTCAAAGTTACTGTTGAAGAGCGCTAATAAATACAACCAGTGTGAGATACAAATAAAAAATAACATAAACCCTGAGTCTGTATCTTCAGATATAGTGCAACACACATTAACCCTCTATACTTGTCCCTAATCACCTTATTCTTATCTTCCATGGTCCTCTCTGAAGGCATGATCTAAAGTCAATTTAATTCAATGGAAAGATTCCTTTAGTGGGCTTTGCTTCAGGCTTTTGGAATTAATCAGGAATAACGTAATGTGTAAACGAGCCCTTAAAATGGAAACCCAGAAAGTTTCTGGCTCCCAACCAGTAAGTACATTTTGAGCATAGGTCTCTATTTCCTATTCCTCTTTTGCTAATAAGATTGAAGAACATCTTTTGTCCAAACACCCCCCAACCCTTCAAATTATCTGACTTTGCCAACTCCGCCCTAATAGGTGGAGTTTATCTGGAGACTTCTATATAGGTGGAGAGGATGGGGAGGTCCAATCCCTATGACCACTTCCTGATTCTACTATGCAGAGAACCACACCTCAAACACAGGGAAAGGAGAGAAGGTTGTAGCACAGTGTAACTGATACCACAGCTGCAACTACAGGTAAAAGGAACAAGAGTCACAAAAGCAGCAGGGAAAATGAAAATTTCTTGATTAAAAAAAACAAGGAAAAGTTTGACCAGGTGTGTGCAGTGCACCTGTCTACAGTATTGGTTCCTGGTTTCTTCAGTTTCAGGCAAACAACAAATATGTTATTAATTTTCCCTTCATTGACTTATGTTCGCCAATATAAAGGGAAATTGAGACAAAAGTAGGTTCTGGACTACAGCTATTGCTTCCAGTGACACACTGCTGCTCCACCACACTATTTTGGGTGTGAAAATATAGAATGACATAAAATGATTATATAAATAATAGTTTGGGGGCACTAGTAATACACATGTTCAGAATGAATATAATTTTGGTACTGCCTAAAAGTTTCCTGTAGAGTTTAAGCTTTCATGGCCGGGAGGAGTTTCTAGTTTTTTTTGTTGCAAAGGAAATGTATTGAATGTTATCTGAACAAGTATATTTTCAATGAGTTTGCAAACAAAGAATACTTCTGAGAGGTGTTAATTTTCCTATTTGTTTTAATGGCCTGTATTAACTCTCACTTTCTTGGTAGAAATATCTAACTATTGTATATAAGTTTAAAGTAAGTTTTAAAGGTGTAAATAATTTGTCTGTATTAGTCTAGATTTGTTTTGTCTGCATTGTCAGCCCTTCTTCCCTGCTAACATCATAGTTTATGAAGAAAATCCTGGATATTCTGGAGGATCAGTGTCTGATTATAGTGACTCAAACTTTATCCTAGTTTCAATGTATTATAAATACATTATTGGCTGGCCAACCAACTAACTCATTCTCCTCTCTCTACCTTATACCAGGTGGAGTAAGTGTTGGATCATCCACTATGTAATGCCTGCTGGTCTGTCCAATTAACTGTGTGCACAGTGGGGCACTCAGACTCCTAGTACTGTATGATCTGGAGCGCTAGGATTTAGAAGCACCAAGTCATATTGTACACAGGCTTCAAATGTGATGTGGGAAACAGGCCCTTAAGTCCTTCATTAAGGTAGGTGCTCTTAATAGAGGAAGAAAGGAGTCTGGAAGTAATGAAGCTGTGAGGGAACAGTGTCTGGAAAGCAAATGGGAAATTTTCCCCACTGAATTTCTTTCTCCCCTCCCCAGATGCTAAGCCCCTTCCACTCCTTAGACAAGTACCCCAGTGATGAACCCCTCATGTTTCCTCCACCCTACCTGCCAAAACTTTGCTGAGCTGTGTAGGAGAAGTGGCAGCCTCTTAAAATGCCCTTCTGTGGCTTGCGGGCTGGATGAGATTGTTTAGACACAAGCAGTCTTTAGTGGTTATTATTTCAGAGTGACAATATGCTCCCAGCCTGGAAAGCAAGAGACTGGACCAAATAATAGTAGCGACATCTTCCATGCGCCAGTGTCCTGCAGAAACTAGAGAACAGCAAGGCCTGTCATTAATCTTTATTATTTTTTAATTTATATTTGAATTCCCCCCTCCCCCAAAATAAGGAAAGAACAAAACAAACAAAAAAAGAAAAGTAAATGAATAGAAACGGAGGAGAAAGAAAGAGGGGCAGAGAGAGGAATGGAGGAATGATATATCCGGTTTTGTTCACTAGGAATTAATCAAAGATGTATAAAAAGTCAGGCCAAATCTTTTCAAAATGTTTGAGGTGCCTCTTCTCAGAAATGTTACCAGGTGGGTCAGCCAAGCTTCTATCTCTGGAGGCACTTTTCCATCTCAGCAGCATGACTTGTTTTGGCTACAACTAAGCACTGCTCTAGAGAACCAAGCTTTTTGTGAGTGGGAGAGTTTCCAAGATGATGGGATATATCCCAAAATAAATTTCTGGGAAATCTTTTATTAACTACAACTTGGTAAGGACTTTAAAAAGTAGGATAAAAGGGACTTCTACACTAGTTACAAAATGTTAGGCTCATACAGGATGGCTTGGGAGAATTTTACACTTTTTTTGTAAATTTGGTGCAGCAGCTGCAGTTAATTTTTAACATTAATAATTTTTGAAAAACCTCCTTGGGTATTACAGTGGTGTCTGGTATTAAAAAGGTGTAACAGAATCCAGTAGAGCCAAAAAGAAATTGAGAAATCTCTTCAGAAATCCACCAGAATTTGGCTAAAATCCCAGTGAAAGACCAAACAGAGGGAAAATTCGGCATAGATTTTCCAAAATTCCCTGTTGGTTGTGAACCCTCCACAAAACATTTTGCTTTGCTTACACGAAAAGTATTAAAATGAGTGTTAAGTATTTTGTATCTGTGTGAATCTAGAGCTCAAGAAAGGTGGTGAATCAACAGCCTTGGAGAATCTAGTGCTGCAGAGACATCCCCGCGTGACAGCCCATCATCTAGTGTTTGTGAGAGGTGCTGGATTGATTGCTTCTGGAAACAGAGAAGGCCTTTATCCGTAGAACAGGTATAGCATGAGCACAAGCAGCAGCAATGCAAGTTTCCCATATTTAAGGTGTCTGGATTATCAAAATGAAGAAAGGCACCATCTGTCACTCCCCACTCCAGGGGAAGCTCATTCACGATTTATATTCCCTACCTTTGCCTCTTGGGGTAATGCCATCTTCAGACTCTTTCTGGTTGCTGAAAATGGCTTTGCGGAGTCTGCTATAGTGCCCCTAGCGGAGAGGAGGAGTGTGCTGAGGTACAGAGTATAAAACAATTGTCCAACTCTAAGGCTCCAATTTTTAAGGGCCATTAAAAAATGACTGTCTTGAAAAAACGTATATGTTGTTGTAGCCGTGTCAGTCCCAGGATATTAGAGAGACAAGGTGGGTAAGATAATATCTTTTATTGGACCAACTTCTGTTGGGGAGAGAGACAAGCTTTCAAGAGCTCTTCTTCAGCCCTGTCTCTTGGAAAAAAATGAGTCATCCGATCCCTTTACCATTTCCCTACCTGAACCCAGATTTGAAGGTACCATCTCTAGGGGGATGAGAAGACAGTGACATTTCCATGCCTGTTGTTAGTAGTAGTATTAGTAGTATAGCAGCACACCTAGATGCCAACATCCCATTGTGCTAAACCTTGCACACAAATAATGAAGAGATGGATCCTGCTCCCAAGAGTTTACAAGCCAACAGGTGGATACAACAAACAAAGGAGCACAAGGAAGAAATAAGACAATACTGATCATCATAAGCAATGGTCACAATACACCAACTGCCTAACAATTATTGTTTTTTGTAGGCATCACAGCAGAGAAGAGTTTTAAAGAGGGATATGAAGGAAGACAATGTGGTGGTT